CCCTGGAACAGGGTAACATATGAAACTTTACAACACCAAATAACCTGGAACAGGTTAAGTATAAAGTAATTGTATAACACTAAATATCTTGAACATGTACTTATTAACATATGCATCATCATCAGAACCTGAAACAGGGTATACATGACTGAATAATTAAAACTGGACATGTGTACTTCACATGTACTAAAACCATCTAATCTGGCTCAAAACGTTATAAATATTTTAAATTATAAAACTCAATATGACACCTATAAAAACTGCATTGACAAAACAACAAATAATTACACAACATGTTCAACATAATGAATAAGTACATATATATATAGTAGATGCATAGTCAATACATAATCTGCTAAACTCATAGTCAATACATAATATGCAAAAGTGACCCACCCCAATTTGACATTAATTCCTTACCTATGTGTAACATCCACCTTATCAGGTGAGTAGCCCATATCTAAATTCATTTGTCAACACTGAAATATAACAACCTTATATATGTACAAACATAGATTTCAATTATTTTAGACCAACCTGATGATAATTCTGCTAACAAAAAGCTCCCATACATGAAACAAAATAATAAGAAAAATTCAAAAAAAAACGGAAGTTGTCACAGGCATTTAAACAAAACAAAATACTGTAAGGCGATGACCTGGGGATGGTGGGAGGGTAAAACTTATAAGTTGTCAAACTCTCTGAAAAACTTCCTGTCTTCTGCCTCTAACAATTTCTCCTCTAATGCTTGTACCTGCTTCTCATTGGTCAATTTTGTCACGTGTATATTCTACTTAAATATAGTAACAGATCTGTATATATATATCTCATACAGAACGTTTATATGTCCCCTACTCCCTGACCCACATTATAGTATCTATATTACTGAAGACATGATGGAAGGGCCTTGTATTCATGTTGTGTATAAACTCAAATTAAATAAAATTTCCATTTTATACACAACATATAAGATAAAGCGGAAATAATTCTAGAACTTGTTTATTAAAATTTAGATTCGAAAGTATAATAAATCTACACTTTGGCTCTTCTTTGGGGCTACTCACCATTTAATCTTTACATAATAGAAACTAGAAACATAATGTAATATCACCTGCATGTATCTTATAAATTGCACCATTATCAAAAAACCAATCTTATACCAAATTATCCAATAATAGTGTGATCTTAATAAAAGCGAAGAATAATTATTATCTGAATGGGGAAAAGAATTCCCTTGAATTCTAATGGCCAAATGAATGAAATTATGCTTGCATAAATGAGTGAGAGCCCCAAGCACATATCACTACATACATAACACAGCACTACATACGTAACACATATCACTACATACATAACACATATCACCACATACGTAACACATATCACTACATACGTAACACATATCGCTACATACATAACACATATCACTACATACATATTACATATCACTACATACGTAACACATATCACTTCATACGTAACACATATCTCTACATACATAACACATATCACTACATACATATTACATATCACTACATACGTAACACATATCACTTCATACGTAACACATATCACTACATACGTAACACATATCCCTACATACATAACACATATCACTACATACATATTACATATCACTACATACGTAACACATATCACTACATACCTAACACATATCACTACATACATAACACATATCACCACATACGTAACACATATCACTACATACATAAAACATATCACTACATACATAATACATATCACTACATCCGTAACACATATCACTACATACATAACACATTTCACTACATACATAATACATATCACTACATACATAACACATATCACTAAATATGTAACATATCACTACATACATAACACATATCACTACAGACGTAACACATATCACTACATACATAACACAGCACTACATACGTAACACATATCACTACATACGTAACACATATCCCTACATACATAACACATATCACTACATACGTAACACATATCGCTACATACATAACACATATCACTACATACATATTACATATCACTACATACGTAACACATATCACTACATACATAAAACATATCACTACATACGTAACACATATCACTACATACATAACACATATCACTAAATATGTAACATATCACTACATACATAACACATATCACTACATACATAACATATTACCTACATACAGTGCAGCATATTAGGTAACAAACTGGGATATCACTAGTTTTGACCTTTTTATTGTTTCTGTACCCTAGACAAAGCAGCATGACCAGTAGCCTGCCTCTGTCCCCCAGTAGTTCTGACCTGACCAATACAGCTAGTCTGCCACTGGTTATCAAGGAGAAGGATGTTGAATATCAGGTACTTCAACTACAGATTTTTATGATGTTCACATGTGTATTAGTGATTCTTTGTACAGATTAAAACAACAAGTAACAGATGTAAGGTCTTCCATGATGAAAAGATGGACAGATACTATAACCTTTAACAAACCAATTTAAGTTAAAGTTGCATCAAGTATATAAAAATGTAGAGAATTTCGAAACACTGATTGTAAATCACAATTTTGCTTTATGTGACCTTGACACTGTGATTGACTTTGATAGTGAAACCTATATATTCTGTATCTATGACTACCTCCAACTGTTCTTAGTTTCATCGGATTATTCTGTACGAGCGACTGCTGAAAGCCTACCCCTACAAGAGAGCCCATATCTGGAAGGAGGCGCGTGTGGACATCCCCCCGCTGGTCAGGGCACCTGTCTGGGCAGCTCTCCTGGAGGTGGAGGTAGGTTTATACCATCTATTAATTAGGTGAGGCTGGAAGCTGTCTTTGTGGTGGATCGATGATTTTGGGGGCTCTTCTGAAGGTGAAGGTATAGGCTTGTGGTGTGTATGAACTGAATATACAGGACGATAGTGCATAAAACAAGTCAGTGATCATTTCTTTTTGCTAATAAATTAGAACTCGCACAATAAAGTTGCTGTAATGGAACATCTTGTGTCTCCAGGCAACACATGTACAGGGGCCCATATACATAAAGGTCAAAATAAAATACAACATAGGCAAAATACTGGTCATACATCACCACCATTTGTTTGGTCATATTCTGGTGCATTTAACGACTTAATTATCGTCAAACTGAGGGAAGAGTATGATTTAGTATTTACTATAATTGAAATTTCAGAAAAGGGGACTGTACTTGTGTTAAAGTTATATGCATATCAGTACTTCTACTTGCCAGACTTAGCAGCATCACTACTTGTGTAGAATCGCTAGTTGATAGCTTAACATAAAACAGGGACTGGTCCAATGATCCAAATCATCATATTCAGACGTAAATAAACACATCTTGTTTGATAAACAATTGTTTGTATTAACCTTAACCTTTTGTGACTTTTGTTTTCAGGGTGATATTGAAGGCTTGTACAACAGTATTGATAAAGACACAATTACGCCCACTGATAGACAGGTATGTCAAGGTTGGCAGGGGAGATATCCCTGATAGACAGGTATGTCGCGGTTGGCAGGGGGGATATCCCTGATAGACAGGTATGTAAAGGTTGGCAGGGGGATATCCCTGATAGACAGGTATGCCAAGGTTGGCAGGGGGGATATCCCTGATAGACAGGTATGCCAAGGTTGGCAGGGGGGATATAACTGATAGACAGGTATGTGAAGGTGGGCAGGGGGGATATACCTGATAGACAGGTATGTCGAGGTTGGCAGGGGGTATATACCAACAAGTACTGTCTGGTAGTGTTTCCAGGCTACTACTCAAAATATGTTAAAGATAAATTTCTGAAACTTTATATGCATCACCGCTTGTAAAAAAATACTACAAATTTATATCTAGGGTTTGTGTCTTGCTTCACTTAATCCATATCCTTGCATACATATTAGCAGCTCCCTATTGTTCCACTTGGCAGGGATCTACATCCTTGTAATTTACCAACCATGGTTGACTATCATGGTAAGCCATGACTAGCCATAGCTGTACAACCATGTATTTGGATACTTAACCAGAGTATATCATGGTTTGACTTTCTAGTTAAATGGCGAGCCATAGCAAGGCAACAACAACTGGTCAACCAACCAACCCACATACACCATGGTCTAACTAGTCAGCCATTTGTTGCCTATGGTTTGGTAATATATTCTGCCACACCCTTGGCAGGGAATCTGAATGACTATTTCTTTATCATAAATTATTTACTAATTTGAACTTTTTTCCTTTAAGTTACCGATGTATAATTGGTCATGTATGAACCTGCAGCTTGTTATTATCTCATATACATGTATTTTATTGGTTCCCAGCAGTCCATTAGAACCCAAATATTGCTTTGCACCTCGTACAGTTAGGACATAAGGCTGTCGTCTTTACTAATATGTAGTTATCTCCCCTTATTTTCCCAGATTGAGGTTGACATCCCACGGTGCCACCAATATCATGAGCTGCTGTCCTCCCCGACGGCACATGTTAAGTTTAAGCGTGTACTGAAGGCGTGGGTGGTGAGCCACCCCGAGTATGTGTACTGGCAGGGACTGGACAGCCTGTGTGCTCCATTTCTTGCCCTTAACTTTACAAATGAAGGTAAAAAATAGGGATTATTTCCCCTCATACCTATCAATAAAAATGTGCATGTCTGGACTAGCTATGTACAAATTTTCATCATTTTTTCAGTCTATAGAAGCACATGTAATTTGGTTGGACTTACATTGTTTGGTTATACATTACATTATGCTGTGATACTTCATTGTGAATTATCAGTATCTTGTTAGAATTATGCTATAAAACTCAAATAATAATTCTTTTTCTTTCAGCCCTAGCATATGCCTGTTTAACAGCTTTCATTCCTAAATATCTACACAAAATATTTCTGAAAGACAACTCTCAGGTTATCCAAGGTAAGTTCAGTAAACAGTAATCAATGAAGTACTTTCAGATTTCAAATATTCTATATTCTATAATGAGAGGAATTTTCACATATGGGGATGGGACAATATTCACCAACCAATATACAATTTACAAGTAATCATGTTTTTGGAAAATAAACTAGTTTAAAATTTTGTGTTAAGTTATAAAGCAAATCAGACTTTGAGCTATTGAATCCAGATAATGTAAAGCATTTAGGGTAATACATGAGGAAGGCAAAGGTATTAAGTAGATAACATTTAGTCAATGATTAATAGATATTAAGTAGATACTATTAAGTCATTAATTAATTGATATTCAGTGGATAACATATAGTCATTAATTAATTGATTTTAAGTAGATACTATTTAGTCATTAATTAATTGATATTCAGTGGATAACATATAGTCATTAATTAATTGATATTAAGTGGATAAAATATTAATTAATTAATTGATATTAAGTGGATAACATATAGTCATGAATTAATTGATATTAAGTGGATAACATAATTATAGTCATTAATTGATCGATTTTAAGTGGATAACATACAGTCATTAATTAATTGAAATTAAGTACTAGATAACATTTAGTCATTAATTAATTGATTTTAAGTGGAAAATATATACCAAGGAACACTCAGTCACATGAATCTTCATTGATTTACAGAATATCTAGCTGTGTTCAGTCACCTTATAGCATTCCACGACCCAGAGCTTGGCAATCATCTTGATGGAATCGGTTTCATTCCAGATGTAAGTATTAATGATCACTGGATAGGCTATATATCCATCTGGTCTGTTGTGTAAGTTTGTCACTGAGTGAGGATAAAAACTTCTCTGTTGTAAGTTTGCCACTGAGTGAGGATAAAAACTTCTCTGTTGTAAGTTTGTCACTGAGTGAGGATAAAAACTTTTCTGTAGTAAGTTTGTCACTGAGTGAGGATAAAAACTTCTCTGTAGTAAGTTTGTCACTGAGTCAGGATAAAAACTTCTCTGTTGTAAGTTTGTCCCTGTAAGAGCGTCACTGATTGGCATACAAACACCCACCACCCCATACCACCACCCTCATTGTAAGTCACTGATCCTGAGAGAGGTGCACCATTAATGTCTGTTGTTTTATTACAGTTGTACGCCATCCCGTGGTTCCTGACTATGTATGCACGTAAGTAGGAAGATGTTATGTTCGATGCTGTAATTAAGTGACAGGAATAAGAAGACATAATCACACAGTATAGACCCAGGCTTTACTTAATTTTGTATTTGATATTTCATTTAAACTGATTTTATTTGTAAATAGTAAGATTGGATAAGAGGCAATGCTTTGCATGTATATCTTCTGTTACAGACCAGTGCCTGCTGTAATTACATTAACTCAATGAATGATGGTAGACAAGAATTTATCAATTTCATTTCACCCAAAGGCAGTGGATGTACTTAAACCTGATGTGTTACTATATTTATCTTACACAATAGTAGGAATCAAAGAACAGATATCATGCACACATACTCTCACACCCTGATCCCAAACTCCATTGACAACTGCATTCCTTCACAGTTATACTTTTATCTTCCCTGTCATTGACAGATGTGTTCCCCCTTCATAAGATCGTTCACCTGTGGGACACTCTACTGCTGGGGAACTCCTCCTTCCCGTTGTGTATCGGAGTAGCCATCTTGCAGCAGTTCCGTGACCGTCTACTCTCCTTTGGTTTCAATGAATGCATTCTCTTGTTCTCAGATATGCCAGGTAACTATACAGATCTTCAAACATTTGCCCCTTCTAAGACATATCAGAAAAAAATGAAATAGGTGTATTTGTGTTCTCAGACATGGCAGGTACATTGTAATATGAAGGCTTAATGAGTGTGTGCTCTTGGTTTTGCCTATGCCTGGTAAGGTACAGATCAGGAAGGGTGGTTAGGTGGGATAGCGCATAGCATACTTGACTTTCAACAAGGCGGCTGGGGTTTGATTCCCTGCCTGACCACATGGGTTTTCTCCAGGTACTCCTGTTTCCTCCCACATTAAGGACTCCTTTGTATACGTGCTAACATCTGGGCCAACAAGTATGATTAATTAATATGAGTTGAAATATCTTGTTTTATAATTGTTGTAAAATAATAAAGTATTATATAGGTACAGGTCTTTGTGATTTATGCATTGAGGTTGTGGATATGTCTATTACAGCATTAACTCATTCACCCCTGAAGACACATTTGAACTCTTCCAATTCAAAGGTTGGAATAGTTCATCATGAAATTTCAGAGGTGAATGAGCTACCGGTAAATGGTATCTTTTGTTATAAATACTGTAAAATTCATATGTCCAGACACATCTGTTTTCTACATTTGTTATCATGAAATTGATAGTCCCATATTGAATAAATAAAAACTGTCAATTAACTTTCTGAATATGAGTATCCTGAAAATTATCCTTTTTAAAATTGTGTCTCCTCTGATGCAGAGATCGACATCCAGAGGTGTGTCCAAGACTCAATCAAGATTTTCTGTAGCACGCCAAAAAGTGCCACCTACCGCCAGCATGCCCGACCACCCAAGAAAGCACAGAAAGAGGAAAGTCGCCCCAACTTGTCGTATTACTCACGCGACTATAATGACCAGCCCTCTACAGATCTGGTAATGACATACTCAGTACTTGTAATATACTATACTTATATAAAACTTTGTGTTGGTAAGCTAATTAAAACTCACAGGGCTTTAGTGTTAGTGTGAACTGATGTTATTGGTTAAAAACCCTCAGTTTACTTTATGGCAACTTCTACTTTATTTTAGTGTTGTCCATGTCCGTCCCGTCCCGTCCCGTCCCGATTCAATGTAAACACCCGTTCCATCGCGTCCTGTCCCGATTCAATGTAAACACTTATAATCAACTTCATTCTTTGACAGATTTTGGTCAAACTTTATACAAAGGTACAACCCTCCACAAAATGGGGGGGCATATAGTGTTGCCCTTGTTCATCCCGTCCCGATTCAATGTAAACACTAAGCAACTTTATTCTTTGACAGATTTTGGTCAAACTTTATACAAAGGTCAACTATGAGTATACTTCGGACATCGTTGTGTTTCAGGGATCCAAGGTCAAGGCCAAGGTCACACTTGCTATATATAGAAAATCATCAACTGATTCAATTTAAACACTTTCACAGATTTTGGTCAAACTTTATATAAAGGTACCTCTGGCATCATTGTGTTTCAGGATGGAAATAACATACAGAAAAACATATGAATATTAAAATCAACTTATCAACTTTAAGTGTAGTACCTTGTGTGTGTGCATGTTTCAGGGTATCAAGATCAAAGTGTTTGTAACGTTTTTTTAGAACACTGAAACTAATTTCTTGTGGCAGTGGGGGCATTTATGTCTTACAGACATTTTCTAGTATTTAATCCAGTCACACCTCAATCTGGTGGTCCCACTATCAGCCTTGTTATACAGTGCAGTGGGGGCATTTATGTCTTACAGACATTTTCTAGTATTTAATCCAGTCACCCCTCAATCTGGTGGTCCCACTATCAGCCTTGTTGATCCAGTCTCCCCCAATCTGGTGGTCCCTCTATCAGCCTTGTTGTTCCAGTCACCCTCAATCTGGTGGTCTCACTATCAGCCTTTTGGATCCAGTCACCCTCAATCTGGTGGTCTCACTATCAGCCTTGTGGATCCAGTCACCCTCAATCTGGTGGTCTCACTATCAGCCTTGTTGATCCAGTCACACCTCAATCAGGTGGTCCCACTATAAGCCTTGTGGATCCAGTCACCCCCAATCTGGTGGTCTCGCTATCAGCCTTGTTGATCCAGTCACCCTCAATCTGGTGGTCTCACTATCAGCCTTGTTGATCCAGTCACCCCCAGTCTGGTGGTCTCACTATCAGCCTTGTTGATCCAGTCACCACTAATCTGGTGGTCCCACTATCAGCCTTGTGGATCCAGTCACCCCTAATCTGGTGGTCTCACTATCAGCCTTGTGGATCCAGTCACACCTCAATCTGGGGGTCCCACTATCAGCCTTGTTGATCCAGTCACCCTCAATCTGGTGGTCCCACTATCAGCCTTGTGGATCCAGTCACACTTCAATCTGGTGGTCCCACTATCAGCCTTGTTGATCCAGTCATCCCCAGTCTGGTGGTCCCACTATCAGCCTTGTTGATCCAGTCACCCTCAATCTGGTGTTCTCACTATCAGCCTTGTGGATCCAGTCACACCTCAATCTGGTGGTCCCACTATCAGCCTTGTTGATCCAGTCATCCCCAGTCTGGTGGTCCCTCTATCAGCCTTGTTGATCCAGTCACCCTCAATCTGGTGTTCTCACTATCAGCCTTGTGGATCCAGTCACCCCCAATCTGGTGGTCCCACTTTCAGCCTTGTTGATCCAGTCACCCCAAATTTGGTGGTCCCACTATCAGCCTTGTGGATCAGTCACACCTCAATCTGGTGGTCCCACTATCAGCCTTGTGGATCCAGTCCCCCTTATTCTGATGGTCCCACTATCAGCCTTGTGGATCAAGTCACCCCCAATCTGGTGGTTCCACTATCAGCCTTGTGGATCCATTCACACCTCAATCTGGTGGTCCCACTATCAGCCTTGTAGATCCAGTCACCCTTATTCTGATGGTCCCACTATCAGCCTTGTGGATCAAGTCACCCCCAATCTGGTGGTTCCACTATCAGCCTTGTGGATCCAGTGACACCTCAATCTGGTGGTCCCACTATCAGCCTTGTGGATCCAGTCACCCCCAATCTGGTGGTCCCACTATCAGCCTTGTGGATCCAATCACCCCCAGTCTGGTGGTCCCACTTTCATCCTTGTTGATCCAGTCACCCCCCAATATGGTGGTCTCACTATCAGCCTTGTAGATCCAGTCACCCTTATTCTGATGGTCCCACTATCAGCCTTGTGGATCCAATCACCCTCCATCTGGTGGTCTCACTATCAGCCTTGTGGATCCAGTCACCCCTAATCTGGTGGTCCCACTATCAGCCTTGTTGATCCAGTCACCCCCAATCTGGTGGTCCCACTATCAGCCTTGTTGATCCAGTCACCCCCAGGCTGTTGGTCCCACTATCAGCCTTGTTGTTCCAGTCACTCTCAATCTGGTGGTCTCACTATCAGCCTTGTTGATCCAGTCAACCCTGATCTGGTGGTCCCTCTATCAGACTTGTTGATCCAGACACCCCCAATCTGGTGGTCCCTCTATCAGCCTTGTTGATCTAGACACCCCCAATCTGGTGGTCCCTCTATCAGCCTTGTTATCCAGTCCCCCCCAATCTGTTGGTCCCTCTATCAGCCTTGTTGGTCCAGACACCCCCAATCTGGTGGTCCCACTATAAGCCTTGTTGATCCAGTCACTCTCAATCTGGTGGTCTCACAATCAGACTTGTTGATCCAGTCAACCCTGATCTGGTGGTCCCCCTATCAGACTTGTTGATCCAGACACCCCCAATCTGGTGGTCCCACTATCAGCCTTGTTGATCCAGTCACTCTCAATCTGGTGGTCTCACAATCAGCCTTGTTGATCCAGTCAACCCTGATCTGGTGGTCCCACTATCAGCCTTGTTGATCCAGTCATCCCCAATCTGTTGGTCCCACTATCAGCCTTGTTGATCCAGTCATCCCCAATCTGGTGGTCCCTCTATCAGCCTTGTTGATCCAGACACCCCCAATCTGGTGGTCCCACTATCAGCCTTGTTATACAGTCACCCCCAATCTGTTGGTCCCTCTATCAGCCTTGTTGATCCAGTCACCCCCAATCTGGTGGTCCCTCTATCAGCCTTGTTATCCAGTCACCCCCAATCTGTTGGTCCCTCTATTAGCCTTGTTAACCAGTCACCCCAAATCTGGTGGTCCCTCTATCAGCCTTGTTGATCCAGACACCCCCAATCTGGTGGTCCCACTATCAGCCTTGTTGATCAGTCACCCCAAATCTGGTGGTCCCACTATAAGCCTTGTGGATCCAGTCACCCCCAATCTGGTGGTCCCACTATCAGCCTTGTGGATCCAGTCACACCTCAATCTGGTGGTCCCACTATCAGCCTTGTGGATCCAGTCACACCTCAATCTGGTGGTCCCACTATCAGCCTTGTTATACAGTCACCCCCAATCTGTTGGTCCCTCTATTAGCCTTGTTAACCAGTCACCCCAAATCTGGTGGTCCCTCTATCAGCCTTGTTGATCAGTCACCCCAAATCTGGTGGTCCCACTATCAGCCTTGTTGATCCAGTCACCCCAAATCTGGTGGTCCTTTTGTCCTACAATCAAGCTGGAGTAATAGCTTTTTTCTGTAAATAATTGTCTAAATAACCAAGTCATCTCACATGTAGTTTCTTTTCTTGTCAACAAAGGTGCCCCGATTAACAAAACTCTGCCATAACAGTAACAAATCTAAGATGTAAGCAAGCATTACCTCCCTTGTAACCTACTCTGCTATCTGATTCCTAGTCTATGGAGCCAATACCGATCGAGGAGTTGAAGCGAGAAAAGGTGCCAAGGATTTCTGCAGAGGACCTGATTGAATTGGGTGAATTGACAGGTCCTGCACACAGCAAAAGTCCAACCAAACGCAAACAGAACAGCAAACCCATGTTGTTGGTGGTAGATGTTCGCAGTGAGGAAGAGTATCCTTTGAAATGGAAAATGCTTTTTTCAGTTTTAATCGACACAGAATGGGGAACTGTTAAATGGTTATAAATAATGTCATGTTGATAATCATTACTATTCTACTTTAATGAGCGTGATTCCAGAGTTGTAACAAAGAGATAATGGGACTATTTAAATAGAAATGCATTAATGTTAGGGCACAACTTCTCTAAACTGTTTCTCAATTTGATCAGTTATGAGGTCTCTTAAAGATTGCCTCTAACAACCCCCCATCCCTGAATATTCTACTTAAAAAAGGGTGAGGATATTGACCATCAGTTTGACTCTCTGCAATGAAATATAATAACAATTAAAAGTTAGTATGTTAAGTGAATTTGGACATATTATTACGTTGAGTGAAGACATTTAAGTACTGTTTTAGCTGGAGCTGTACATTTGATTATCCTGTGATTACAGTTCCTTACTTCAGCTTCAGATTCAATAAAGGTACAGTGGAGAAGAGTATCAACATTCCATTCCATTCTGCTTTTTCACCTGAAGGAGATCTCAATGCTTGCCCTGCCGTCACAACCTTGACCTCCAGCAGGCCACAGGTCAAGGTCATTGTTGGAAGTAGAGGGAAAAATGCTGTGAATGTAAGTCCTGTCACTTGGTCATCACACAGTTACTTAGTTCATCAGTAAACATGTAAACATGAAGGATAACAAATTAGGAATCACACGAACTCATCAAAGTGATCTGATAATTACCTACAATTTCCAACCCTTTCAGGATGGTATGGTTCATGTTCAAGAATACATCCAGATTATATGAATTACAATGTACATGTTAAAGTAAAAATAGTATGAAAGAAAGTGTTCAGGAAGTGGAGGAGGTGCTTTGTCAGATTGTTCACCGGCATCCCAGCCCTCGCCTACACACACTCAGAAAATCATAGGCAGAGCCAATATCCCTGCAAGTCCCATCTCATCCCCACCACAACGTATAAAGTTTATCATAACCAAGTTCTACTGTCAGACTTACGAAATTGAGAGTACACACACATATCAATATGTAATCATTTATGTTTATATCTGTTTCAGTTTGCAAATGAGATTATACGCCTGGGTATTTCTAAAGTCTGTGTCCTCCATAAAGGTATTGACGTCTTACGACAAACGGGTCTATTGATGCTGCCCCCAGCCGACATCTGATACATCGCCCCGGGTCTACTTTCAGCCGACATTTGATACATATAGATGATTATATTACCTTTGTGGTATCAGCTGGTTTCCCCTGGGGACCAAGTTAAAAACTGAATGTTTGAAGAGCCCCACACTGCTGGTCCAGTGTTAATATGCTACTGGAGCTAGTGACAGTAGCATTATAGTATGGTGGTGCATGTGCTACATCAGACTCAATTAACCTGATTACGTGTCAACACTTTCAGGGTCAACAATCTAGTTTTATTAGGTCACCTGAGCTTTAGCTCAAGTGACCTATTGCTATCCGTTTTCGTCCGTCGTCGTCCGTCGTCCGTCGTCCGTCGTCCGTTAACATTTTACATTTCAAACTTAAAGTCAAGTTCTGCTGGGCCGATTGAACTGAAAGTTGGTAGGAATGATCGCCTCATGGTCCTGACAAAGTGTTGTTATTTTTCGGGTCGATCAGAAATCCAATATGGCCGCCACGGCCGCCATTTTGAAAACCTATTTCAAACTTAAAGTCAAGTTCTGCTGGACCGATTGAACTGAAAGTTGGTAGGAATGATCGCCTCATGGTCCTGACAAAGTGTTGTTATTTTTCGGGTCGATCAGAAATCCAATATGGCCGCCACGGCCGCCATTTTGAAAACCTATTTCAAACTTAAAGTCAAGTTCTGCTGGACCGATTGAACTGAAAGTTGGTAGGAATGATCGCCTCATGGTCCTGACAAAGTGTTGTTATTTTTCGGGTCAATCAGAAATACAATTTGGCTGCCATGGCCGCTATTTTGCTACTAAGTTCTAATAGGCCGATCTCACTTAAAATTGGTCTAGGAATGATCAGCTCATGGTCCTGACAAAGTTAAGTTAACATTATACTATTTTTTACTCAAATTGGTACATATTTCAACAACAAAAATAAATACTATAGACTCAGGTGACCGTTAAGGCCCATGGGCCTCTTGTTATTTGTATGACCCAAATCTCCAGTGATCATCACAGCAGTTCCGCCTGACTGATCTGTAATATTGCTCTGTGTCACTGCTTGTGATGTCTCTCCGTTCCCTGATCAGCTGAGCCATCAGTACAATGTAGGCAGTGGCTTTCTGAATCCTTAGTTTGGGAGAATCTTCAGTAGGATTCATCATTTTGGAACTGTGTCTGTATCATAGTTTTTTCTTTATACACAAACAATGTATGTATAAAATTTGTCACCTGTAACCTGTCTGATGCTGTGTGTATACGCTCCCTATCGTTAGGCGAAATGTCTCGGGTCGAGTGACAAAAAAAATATACAATTCAATCACATCATTGTTGAGGTAAAAAAAACATATGGCCTACTCAGTCATAGCTTGAAAAAGGGACTAGTCGGTCTTGAAATGTAGCGACACGTTTAATATGTACATTGTTTGTGAAGAAAGTAAAACTTTGATATCACATATTTCCAAAGCGATGAATCTTATTGAAAATATGTCACTATGTTACAAAGCTTGGGAGATTGAATTTATACCAGCAATATAACAAAACTAACTTTTTTATTCCAACTGTTCTGTTGGTAGGGGTAATAGATTGCTGTAACGTCAGTAGATAACCTGGCCTTTCCCTTATGTCAGTAGATAACCTGGCCTTGCCGTAACATCAGTGGATTACCTGGCCTTTCCCTTATGTCAGTAGATAACCTGGCCTTGCCGTAACATCAGTAAATTACTTTAAATCTGTCTCAAAAACCCTGTAAGGTTACATTAATATACATGTATCTGTTTCAGTGTTTCTTATTGCACATAGACAAAACGTGTGTACTAATGTGATGATGAATTCCTGTACTTATTTATGATTATGGAACATTGTTAAGTTACAGATACACCTCTATGGTTATGTTACAGGAGGTTTTTTTCTTTGTGTAGGATGAATTAATCACAAGCAACACGGTAGCACATGTGGTTAGACTTCTAAAATAGCGGGTTTAAATCCCAGCTGTTTTCTTTCCCGTTACATTTGACCTCAAAATAAATATGTCCGCAGGAAGTGGTATATGGTCTTATAATAATATGTGTCTTCATGGTCATAAACCATTTTTCACAGAGTTAGGGATCCGTACTTCCTACATTGTTTCCCTGTACTACTTGTAATGGCCCTATACTTCCTGTCATATCTCTATACTTCCTGTCATATCCCTATACTACTTGTAATGGCCCTATACTTCCTGTCATATCCCTATACTACTTGTAATGGCCCTATACTTCCTGTCATATCCCTATACTACTTGTAATGGCCCTATACTACTTGTAATGGCCCTATACTTCCTGTCATATCCCTATACTACTTGTAATGGCCCTATACTTCCTGTCATATCCCTTTACTTCCTGTTGTTTCCCTATACTACTTGTTATGGCCCTATACTTCCTGTCATATCCCTATACTTCCTGTTGTTTCCCTATACTACTTGTCATATCCCTATACTTCCTGTTGTTTCCCTATACTACTTGTCATATCTCTATACTTCCTGTCATATCCCTATACTTCCTGTCATATCCCCATACTACTTGAAATGTCCCTATATTTCCTGTCATATCCCTATACTTCCCATTGTTTCCTTATACTACTTGTAATGTCTCTATACTTCCTGTTGTTTCCCTATACTTCCTGTTGTTTCCCTATACTTCCTGTTATATCCCTATAATTTCTGTCTTATCCTTTTACCTATTGTCAATATCCTTACTTCCTCTTGTAACTGTTTACTTCGGGGAAGTTCCTCTTGTAACTGTTTACTTCGGGGAAGTTCCTCTTGTAACTGTTTACTTCGGGGAAGTTCCTCTTGTAACCCTTTACTTCCTCTTGTAACCGTTGTAACCGTTTCCTTCCTCTTGTATCTCTATAATTTTCTGTCATATCCTATTTTATCTTTACACTCTTTGTATCATTTATCTATAATACCTGTGACATGATATTGGGTTAACTGTTTGTATTTTTTTCTGAATAATGTGCAATATATTGTATTATTATTTTAATTGATTTTGAGCTGACTCTGATTGGCTGAAACAACATCATGTGACCACCTGTAAAAGTAGTTATAAACCGGAGTGGTTTGCAGGTGTTCAAAAAAGTTGGTAGAAAAAGTGTTATTGACCTGCTATAAATAGATTCTGGAATTTTTATGAAGTCATTTAGATGATTAACACCTCATGGGAGATGAACACAGTAATGATCAAGATTAACACTGCAAGTCACTTATTGCAGATATTTAAATGATTATTGCAGATTATTGCAGATATTTAATTAAAAAATGTTATTTTTCTGATATTTTTGTTTAGTCAATTTTAAAATTTGTGACTTAAAAAAAATGGAAATTACATTTTTTTCTGATATTTTGAGAAAATAAATTAAAATAATAAAACTATTGTAGCATGGCAATTTCGGTCGATACATGGTTTTATCGACCTAGGTTAGCAATATTGACCTTGGACTGCGTCCTTGGTCAATATTGCTAACTTAGGTCGATAAAACCATGTATCGACCTCATCACCATGCTATAATTGTATATTAATCAAGTTTATTTAATTATATAAATATCTTCAACACAGCATTTAATGTTCCATTATTTAGCACAACACCGGTTAAATACTAAAATAACGTATTTAATTAGGACTAATGGTTGTAATAAAACAGGCCTCATCTAACATAAAGCAATTTATGCCTATATTAATTGACTTCTAGTCACAAATTCAGTCATTTTAATTTTTAAAAGTGTTGTCATGAATTTTCACTAGTGAGAACATGAGAAAAAAGGAAATTTGTGAAATTGTGATTTAGTAGAGTTACAACATTGTAATAAAATGTTTAAGTTGTTAATAGCAAAGAGTTTGTGATATTTTCTTCTTTCATCATGTTTCTGTCAATTTGACAAAGTCAATTTATTTAATAGTACATGGTTTATCACATTCCAAATTGTTTGACCAATTGTATCAGAGTTGTTCGTGCTTAAGAAAACATGAACACTGTTTACTGGCGAGTATGTTCAGTGATTTCTGTCCAGTATGTATACCAAGTGTCACTCTCACTTCAAACAAATGAAAAATGAATTTCCTAGTTTAAAGAACAAAGAATCAGTTCATCAAGGTTATCATAAACATGATTTTAATGACTATAAATATTTATTTATACAAATATATACAATATTATATACAAACAGTTTTTAGATTTTTAAAATATGTGTACTACAAATTGGATCCCTATCCTTCCATTGACATAAATGAGGCTGTCATGATCAGAAATCATACATGTGCAGGAAATTTGAAAATGTGTTTCTCCCAACGGTTACTAATGCTTAGGAATCAGATAACATATATTGTAGTTATGTTTCATGTGTTTTTTCTGATAAACATATAAATTAAGTACAAATAATCTGTTAAGATATAAGCAGCGATTTACTAAGACACTGAAACTTTACCACTATCAATGCTGTAGGCAAATCAAAGGCAATTCACACTAAATGCTGCTTAAACCGATCTTGGCAATTTCCACAAAATACTGTAAGCCTTTAAGAAACTTGTGCAATAATTAGGCAACAAATCACAACTATAGGAAATTATGACCAACAGATTATTTCATCTCATCTTATATCAGTATCATGCCTGGTCAGTTGGAGGCATAATTTAGTGATACTATCTACTATGCAATGTATATACTTGTATATTCATGACTTACATCTATACATACAGAACAGCTAAATCGATTTTGGACGGACTGAGGCACATTCAAATTCCTGACCATAGATTGCTTGCATTTTTTAAAGAAAATTCAGCTTAGTAAGGAAAATTTTAAAAAAAGTTCATCTTTTCAAAGAAATAAACTTCTTTAACAATGAGAAAAAGATAGTTTTTCTCCAATACATATCTACAACTATGAGACTCTAAACTGACACTATTATAATCTCTATCATAGATGATGATATAACACCTACTAATGTTGGTAATTGCTGTTTCCACTGTCCTACACATCTGATGATATGAATATTTTGCGTTACTCAGGTATGGAGGACGTAAGTGTTAGGACGTAAGTGTTAGGACGTTGCTGTAGCATACACTTGTGAATATTTTGGCTGTTCAGACATGTTTTTCTGCTTGAGTTTCTTGGCCCACTGTGACTTGTCTCGAGTCTGTAACACAAAGAAATTCTTTTAATTATTGATAACCATGATTAAAGATTAAGGATATAATCTGAAAGTTTAAGATAGAACAAAGATTATTAGGACTGAATCTCAAATTTCACATACTGACAAATTGAAAATAAAAATCTGTTATCTGAAGATTTAGCATGGATCCAAGCTTGAGAACATTACATTATCTGATTGTTTTAACACAGATCCAAGCTTAGAACATTATCTGAAAGTTTAACACAGGCTAGAGATCATTATCTGAAGATTTAACACAGTTCCCGGCTTGAGAACATTATCTGAAAGTTTAAAACAGATCCTGGCTTGTGAACATTGTCTGAAAGGTTAAGATAGATCCAGGATATAGAATATTATCAGAAAGATGACCCCTAGCATTAGGGTACATTACCAGTGAAATTGATCCAGGTTTGAGGATATTCGGGTCATCCTGTGGCTCAAACGTGTGGTGTGGGACATGAACAGCTGAACTCCTAGGCCTGACCATGTCCCGTGGCACAACGGAAGCTTTCTTCGCTCCTGTTGGATGATTTGATAAGTTCATCACAACCTGCTTCATGACAGACATCTCCTGAAAAGAACGATACAACATTAGCTGATATAAAACAAAAGTACAGAACAATACAACATTAGCTGATACAAAACAAAGTACAGAACGATACAACATTAGCTGATACACAACAAAGTACAGAACGATACAACATTAGCAGATACAAAACAAAGTACAGAACGATACAACATTAGCAGATACAGAACAATACAACATTAGCAGATACAAAACAAAGTACAGAACGATACAACATTAGCTGATACAAAACAAAGTACAGAACAATACAACATTAGCTGATACACAACAAAGTACAGAACGATACAACATTAGCAGATACAAAACAAAGTACAGAACGATACAACATTAGCAGATACAGAACAATACAACATTAGCAGATACAAAACAAAGTACAGAACGATACAACATTAGCTGATACAAACAAAAGTACAGAACAATACAACATTAGCTGATACACAACAAAGTACAGAACGATACAACATTAGCTGATACAGAACAATACAACATTAACTGATACACAACAAAGTACAGAACCATACAACAATAGCTGATACAAAACAAAGTACAGAACAATACAACATTAGCTGATACACAACAAAGTACAGAACGATACAACATTAGCAGATACAGAACAAAGTACAGAACGATACAACATTAGCTGATACAGAACAAAGTACAGAACGATACAACATTAGCAGATACAAATCAAAGTACAGAACGATACAACATTAGCAGATACAGAACGATACAACATTAGCTGATACAGAACAAAGTACAGAACGATACAACATTAGCAGATACACAACAAAGTACAGAACGATACAACATTAGCGGATACAGAACAATACAACATTAACTGATACACAACAAAGTACAGAACCATACAACAATAGCTGATACAAAACAAAGAACAGAACAATACAACATTAGCTGATACACAACAAAGTACAGAACGATACAACATTAGCTGATACAGAACAATACAACATTAGCTGATACAAAACAAAGTACAGAATGATACAACATTAGCAGATACAGAACAATACGACATTAGCTGATACAAAACAAAGTACAGAACGATACAACATTAGCAGATACAGAACAATACAACATTAGCAGATACAAAACAAAGTACAGAACGATACAACATTAGCAGATACAAAACAAAGTACAGAACGATACAACATTAGCTGATACAAAACAAAGTACAAAACAATACAACATTAGCTGATACACAACAAAGTACAGAATGATACAACAATAGCTGATACAGAACAAAGTACAGAACAATACAACATTAGCTGATACAAAACAAAGTACAGAACGATACAACATTAGCAGATACAGAACAATACAACATTAGCAGATACAAAACAAAGTACAGAACGATACAACATTAGCTGATACAAAACAAAGTACAGAACAATACAACATTAGCTGATACACAACAAAGTACAGAACGATACAACATTAGCAGATACAAAACAAAGTACAGAACGATACAACATTAGCAGATACAGAACAATACAACATTAGCCGATACAAAACAAAGTACAGAACAATACAACATTAGCTGATACAAAACAAAGTACAGAACAATACAACATTAGCTGATACACAACAAAGTACAGAACGATACAACATTAGCAGATACAAAACAAAGTACAGAACGATACAACATTAGCAGATACAGAACAATACAACATTAGCAGATACAAAACAAAGTACAGAACGATACAACATTAGCTGATACAAAACAAAGTACAGAACAATACAACATTAGCTGATACAAAACAAAGTACAGAACGATACAACATTAGCTGATACAAAACAAAGTACAGAACAATACAACATTAGCTGATACAAAACAAAGTACAGAACGATACAACATTAGCTGATACAAAACAAAGTACAGAACAATACAACATTAGCTGATACAAAACAAAGTACAGAACAATACAACATTAGCTGATACAAAACAAAGTACAAAACAATACAACATTAGCTGATACACAACAAAGTACAGAACGATACAACAATAGCTGATACAAAACAAAGTACAGAACAATACAACATTAGCTGATACACAACAAAGTACAGAACAATACAACATTAGCTGATACAGAACAATATAACATTAGCTGATACACAACAAAGTACAGAACGATACAACAATAGCTGATACAAAACAAAGTATAGAACAATACAACATTAGCTGATAAAAAACAAAAGTATAGAACGATACAACATTAGCTGGTACAAAAAAAATACAGAACGATACAACATTAGCTGATACAAAACAAAGTACAGAACGATACAACATTAGCAGATACAAAACAAAGTACAGAACAATACAACATTAGCCGATACAAAACAAAGTACAGAACGATACAACATTAGCTGATACAAAACAAAGTACAGAACAATACAACATTAGCTGATACAAAATTAAGTACAAAACAATACAACATTAGCTGATACAGAACAATACAACATTAGCTGATACAGAACAATATAACATTAGCTGATACACAACAAAGTACAGAACGATACAACAATAGCTGGGACAAAAAAAATACAGAACGATACAACATTAGCTGATACAAAACAAAAGTACAGAACAATACAACATTAGCTGATACAAAATTAAGTACAAAACAATCCAACATTAGCTGATACAGAACAATACAACATTAGCTGATACAAAACAAAGTACAGAACAATACAACATTAGCCGATACAAAACAAAGTACAGAACAATACAACATTAGCTGGTACAAAACAAAGTACAGAACAATACAACATTAGCTGATACAAAACGAAAGTACAGAACATGAATTTGATAACTTGTGTTGCTTTGAAATTATCAATATCAGTATCATATTTTCTCTCCAGTTTGTTTTCCTAAGAAAACGTGTGCATCACAAACCTCTTTCTGGTTCAAGAGTCGCTCCAAATCAAGAGACATTTGATTCTTTGTCCTCAAAAAGTCTTCTCTCTCCTTCTCCAAAGCTCTGCAAAAATTAAAAAAATAAGGTGATCAACTAGGACTCAAAAAGATACATTCCCCCACACATGATCAGGAAATCAGTCCCCCACACATGACCAGGAAATCAGTCCCCCACACATGATCAGGAAATCAGTCCCCCACAATGATCAGGAAATCAGTCCCCCACACATTACCAGGAAATCAGTCCCCCACACATGACCAGGAAATCAGTCCCCCACACATGACCAGGAAATCAGTCCCCCACACATGACCAGGAAATCAGTCCCCCACACATGACCAGGAAATCAGTCCCCCACACATGACCAGGAAATCAGTCCCCCACACATGACCAGGAAATCAGTCCCCCACACATGACCAGGAAATCAGTCCCCCACACATGACCAGGAAATCAGTCCCCCACACATGACCAGGAAATCAGTCCCCCACACATGACCAGGAAATCAGTCCCCCACACATGACCAGGAAATCAGTCCCCCACACATGACCAGGAAATCAGTCCCCCACACATGACCAGGAAATCAGTCCCCCACACATGACCAGGAAATCAGTCCCCCACACATGACCAGGAAATCAGTCCCCCACACATGACCAGGAAATCAGTCCCCCACACATGACCAGGAAATCAGTCCCCCACACATGACCAGGAAATCAGTCCCCCACACATGACCAGGAAATCAGTCCCCCACACATGACCAGGAAATCAGTCCCCCACACATGATCAGGAAATCAGTCCCCCACACATGATCAGGAAATCATAAGTATTTAAAAGTGACTTTTTTACCTTCATCCTCATAATTCTAGGGGGTTATACTTTGAGTTCTCTGCGGGAAGTTACTTACTCCCTGTCGTGCTCCAGACTGTAAATGTACTCCTTCTGTTTCTGCAGGCTGGCGTCCCTCTGTCGTATACTTTCTATGAGGTAATTATATGGCTGCTGTGCTTGGTCCAGTATAGAATTGCTGCTCTTCAGCTGTAAACAGATACAAATACAATATATTGTAAATGTTCTCTTCCTAAAGTGAACTAGGGAGAAGAGCTGAACCAATAATAGATAATTTTCTGCTACTACACACTTCTAATATTTAATTTAGTATCAATCACAAACGTTTCTATTACCTCCTCTGCCAGCTGTTTTATCTTGCTCTTCTCTCGGTCAACATCCTTTCTCAAGTTGGTGTTGATTTTCTCCAACTGCAGAACCCGCCTTGCCAGATGTACACTGAAACATTTTAATCCCAAAGTTTGAAAAGTACATACTGGAATATACTATCATATTGGCAGCCCTGTACTGTTTTATTTATCAATGGTACGGGATCACTGGGGTTACGTAGGTGCTAGAGTACCTGTGTATGTAGGGGTAAGGCGTGGAGTCTGACGTACGCGGTGAATTACGTGTTGCACGTGAATCACCTGGGGTAGGGGGTTGTCATATACAGGGTGTATAGGTGGTAGTGTCATTCGAGCTGTTGCAGCCAGACNAATTTGTTTTGATGTTACTTGTCATAGAGCTCTAAACTAGGATTGAGAGCCTCTCTGAGCCATTTGGTGAATGCTTTCAGGTTTATAGGCGTTGGCATTTGGCATATTACAGAGCTTCTAGGACAGATCCTTTGGGACTTGGAGCTAGAGGAACAGTCGCTCAGGTCAGCTATTTCCTATATTACAGTGTTGAGTTGTCATTGATAAATGATTTATGTTTGTTTGAACTAGTAAATTAGAACATAAATCAATATATCCAGATAGACCGACACCAACTCCGTTACTAGTTATAGACAGCCATACATAGGGCCCCTTTAACGTATATGGTTCAACCAGTTGATACAATTGAATCTGAAGGAAAACGACAGGAGCAGATCTGAACTGAGGCTGACCTCGGGAATATTTGGCACAAGTATATCGAGGGGTCCAGACGTGCCTGACCGAAACTAAACTGTTGACTGTTGCTAGTTTGTGTTATTCTGTATTAAACAAGGTCAATCCACATGTATATTTCAAGATTTGTTATATAATTTAGTGGATGTGTGAAAGAAGGACATCTATTACTATTGATAATATTCATTCTCCGAAACAGCATTTCAAAGCTCTGCCTACAGTGTGTTTGTGGAATATTTCCTTGCCACCTGAACCGTTTCTACTGGGATAGGCGAAAGCGACCCTGGTTATAGACAGACACATCCTCCAACACTAATAGCCAGCTTTAGTATACATTTCATAAGTAGGCTGTTAAAAACAGTTTCTGACCGTTTTTATCCATATTTTTGTTTAAATCCCCTTTGGCGTTTAACCTTACCTCTGCTGGAGTCTCCTCTTGGCTGTACTGGGCATGTTAGCTCCATAGCCATAGGAAAACAGCACCTTCTCAGCTTCCTGTTCATTGTTCACTGCAGGCGGAAAGCATAACATGTAGATAACTGTATACCTTATACAACAACTATCGTTTTTAAAACACTCTTTCAGTGATAAATCGATGTGCAAGTCCTGGGTCCTATATTTATAGAGTGTTCATGAGACTCGCAGAATTTCTGGAAATATTGAAATTTAACATTGTGGAACCCATAGTGTTTAGAAATAAATTGAAGATTGCTTACTGCACTTTGTCTTATGTACAATATTACATGGAAACAGGCAGTCAATTGTATATATATAGTGGATTCAATATACTAGGTAAATTCAGGTTATAGAACAGCTTTTTACACATAAACTTGACAGTAACATGACCCTGACATGACCTTGAAAGTACCTTCTGCAGCCTGCATGACAACATCATCCAGCTCCTTCTCAATCTTCTCATAAGCTGTAAGTTTAGATTGTTTGTCAGAGATTTCTGATTCAAGTTCTAGTAGGCGCTTGTCCATAGAACCCTGAAGGCAGTAGTACTCCTTGGTCAATACCTGTAAAATTACAGACAAGTTTTTATCTTCAGCTCATGCTTAAATATATTTGTCTATAAAGCCACTGTACTCGTCATCAGCAAAACATAAATTACTCATCATGGGAAAAGTTATTATCTCCTTAAGCTTGTAAGAGATTCATACAAAACAAATCTCAATAACTAGTAAAGAATTAGGGGTAGTGACAATAAAAACAAGGTAATTTCTGTGAGTGTATGATAGGGCTATCTACTTGTAGGAAAGGGTTGTAGAAAATTTCTGATTTGCACCCCACTTCCCATTTCAAGTTTCTTAATTATCATAGGAAATTGCACCAATTATAAATTTTAAAAAATAAGTCCATTTCAGCATTACCTCATTTTTCTTCTGAAGTTTCTCCACTTCCAACTGACTCTCTGTCAGATTACGTACAGTCTGTTCATGTACCATCTGTGTTCTCTCTGCCTCAAAGCCCTTCAGCTTCACCTCGTTCTTCAGCTCTGACATTCGGGAATCTCCGCTCATCTGCAGCTGTCTGAATCTAAGTAACATACCACACACAGTTAACTTTGTTGCTGTTCATCAACTGACACAGTTTTTTTATCAAAGAAAAATGATTCTCTGGATGAATTACACAACTAGGACAAAGAATGAAGTGATAACCGGGTGATGCTTGCGAGGTTTAGGCCAGGAAAAATGTATGGTGAAATAGAATGTTGCCTCATCATCAAATATCTCAATATGTAAAAATGTGTTGTTTTTTTTAAATAACATGAATTGCTTTCAAGCACTCATGATATTTTGAACAAAAACACAAACGACAATTCACACACTAGCTATACATGTACTATTAAATTACTTTGTAATTGCCAGAAAATGTCTGGTGAAGTGAAATCATAATTTGCCTTTCCTGGGTAATTATTCTCGAAGCTTTCTAGACATTGATCAGTAGGTATATATGTGCAACCGACTTACTCAGTCAACAGTTGGTCATATTTTGTCGTTGTTTCCCTCTCTGCAGCCTGAGCTCTGTCTCTCTCAGATATGGACATTTCTTTTGCCTCTCGTAAATTCCTACAGAGAAAATTATTTATCAGTGATCCTTATGGCAGAACACATAGACATGGCAAATGTAGTGGGTATGATATATCAGTTAAGAGCTTTTATGTGAAGATACCAGAAAAAAAAAACGTCAATGCATTTTAGTTTAGAATAAACCAGCTCTTGATTCACCCTGTGAGATGATTATTTGATGATTTTTACCAACTTGAAGTTAATTTCACAAGAAAAAACTAAGCTTGTAAAACTTCAACAGAGCTGAGGACAATGAATGAAATCTGTACTTTCTATTCAGGTGAGCTGCTAACATGTTAACATATTGAATTTGATCGTGTAGAAATTGTTACAGCAGACTTAAACCCTCTGATTCCAATAAAACTAACCAATGAATTAAATACTACCTAACTGACCTTGTATATAGTCTCCTATGCACTCCTCACTCACCTGTTCTCACGCTCATACATCTCTCGTGTACTTGTCCTAAGTCTGTCTATCTCAGCGTTCGTTCTCGTCCTGATCTGTTCCAATTCATCCTTCAGTTTGTTTTCATATTCTGATTTGTATTGATCTCTGTGTAAAAATAACAAAACATGCTATGACAATGAATGCACAAAAAAAACAAGTAAAAAAATCAAATAAAAAAAGTGTATCACTGAGCAAAGGAGTTTCATCAAATATCAGGACAACAATATTACAGAACTGTCAAATATAGTTCAAAGCTTATATTTACTATTTTTGTGTATTTTGATATCATCTGACATATCAAGATATGCTTATCAATTTTTTAAGTCTGCATGCAGTTCAAATTAAATTAGTGCATATATCGTGTATGCTTGTTCAATAAATAGAACTGCCATGGAGGATCAGTGGTAAGCAACATTACAATGGTGACACCTACATGTGGGCCATGCATATCATTTACAGTAAATATACATCATTCAAGTGTTATATAGTAGCTAGTCCATATGGTGGTACAATAGCTTTGTAAACAAAAGTGAGTTGATCACCTCCACTAAACACATCCTTTAAGCATTTTTTTTAAACCTTGCTAAGATTAAAGTAGGGCAAGTGAAATATGTAGAGCTTTACCTTGAAGTGACATATTTTTCATACATCTCTTCACGGGACCTTTTTGAATCCTCTAGATTGAGATTGCTCTGTTGAGTCTTCTCCTCAGCGAATGTGATGCGGTTGGACAGGTCAGACACTTGCTTGGTTAGGTACTCCTTGTCTTGTTTCAGGAGGGACAGTGATTGTTTTGCTGCAGTACACTGACAAACAAATACAGCACATCAATAAAGTCGTACTCAGTTATATAATACCTTTGTATCGTCTGTCCATTAGTAATACCGTCACTAGAACAACAACACTATATACCTTGCTATTACCTGTTAGTAAATCTAAGCTATTGTCATGCCAATAAATGTATCCAATTAATACTATAGTTACAGTTTGTGAGAGTGGTATTGGGATCAAGGAGTATTACACCAATATATCACTTGGTTTACTTTGTATTTAGCTCTGTTTCTTTGGTAAAACATTAGGGGACATACATATTTCACAAACTGTTAGTCAGAATTCTTGTTCACTCTAGTCAACTAAATAATTGTGATGTCTTCTCACATGTAGTATGAGGTCTGTACATGAGAAAGCCTAGTACTAATATTAGTATCAATCATGGACAGCCTAGGTCTCCGTCCCATCATTTTATAGGATTACTAGATAAATACTTGGTAGAACTTTTATCGTTACAGTCATATGTTACCTACATCACTATAAAGGTCATCTCTTTCCTTCTGCAGACTTTTATGAGCACCATCAAGTACTGTCAACTGACGCTGCAAATCAAGGGTGTCTGATTCTAGGTTGTCTCTGTCCCTGGAAACAGAAACAAAACAAATAAAATTAGACAAACTTGAAGTAGTAGCTATGGCTTCTTAAGATATCCTGGCTTTGCTGCAAAGTAGGATGAAGCTGAAAATGTTCAGTGAGTTTTCAGATAGGATCATGCAACCTTCCACCCATGTCCACCATTGATGAGGACTTGTGTTTTATCTCTGACTTATCGTCCATAAAGAGATTTCCAGGCTCTGTATCACCATTTACTTGTATCATTCTCCAGCTCACCTCAGTCCGTTATTTATTAAAGAATCTTTACTATCTTTAAAAAAAGTTCCGCAAGATATGGATTTATTTTCAAAAATCATCTATCTAAGCTATTGTCATGCCATAAAAGTATCCAATTAATACTAGTTACAGTTTGTGAGAGTGGTATTGGGATCAAGGAGTAATACACCAATATATACTTGCTTTACTTTGTATTTAGCTCTATTTCTTTGGTAAAACATTAAGGGGCATACATATATCACAAACTTTTGTTTGTTGTTTCGTTATTTTCAAGAGGTCAAAATTGCAACATTCTTTTTGATCTGTCAGTTCCTTGAAATAAGGTTATAATTATCTTCAGGTCTGTGACTGGTTTAATATGTTACTGTCCAATATACAGGTGTTAGTGCCAGGTAAAAAGGTGTTGCAAGGACTTTTCAGGATCTTTGTAAAAGTACTGAAATAATCTGTTATACAGCATCAAGTTACACCTTGATCAATGTACATGTATAGACATATCTGGTGTAGATACACCAACTTACCCTTTAACTCGGTCATAGTTCTCCACACGGTAGTTGTCAACCTTAACTTGTGACTTGGTGTCAGTATAATCCATAGATATTTTTTGAAATTTCACACGCAATTCACCATGACTCTGACGTTCCTCGTCGAGTTTCTGTAAATGCAAATTAAATTATCAAACAAATGCAACTGATGCTTAGAGTTATATCACGTTTTGTGTTCATTCTCAAGCCCCTTCTTTATAATGTGAATGCTTATAATTATATACTGTATATATATTTCACTCCAACAGAAGCCCTTGTGAAATTTATCATATGTACAATACACGCGTTCAATCTGGGACATTTTTTTCATAGTTTGGGGGCTGAGGTTGTACAGTAATAATGATATAAGTAACTATACTTGAGATACTTTGCACCTAGTGATTTTGGTGAGCTTGTAACAAGTTGAATACACCGTAAATCTACTAATATTCCTTGGTACTTATTCTAATTAGTTGCATTATATAATATATTAGCTTCCTCATCACACCGCCACATATAATGACAGTGTACCACCCTACCTCTCGGAGCTCCACCACGTCTTTGGAATATGAGTTTGTCTCCTCCTCCAGTGTCTTATTCCTTAGTCGCAGTTGGTCGATCTCTGTCTGCAGTGGACGTATCGCCTCATACAAATGCACCTGTAGGTACAAATAATAAATCATTTATTATCAGGATTTTTATGTGATATCTATTCAGTCACTGTATATGAACCCGAGCATTTAAATGTCATAGAATATCTATCTTCAAATAGTTGACTTATTTCTTTTCCCCTTTAAAGATTACATTGAATCAGTATAAAATTATTAAGAGACCTATGTAAGATGAGTACATCCAATTGGGGGTGGGCCTACTGATTGGGTACAGATGTTTTGTACTCCTATAACATATATGAGGCCGCTGGTCGGCCTTTTTTCTATTGGATATGATTTTGCCAACTGTTACACTGTGCCTGTCAAAAGTATCTTGCCGTGTAAACCTCTAACACTGTTGGAGTAAGATGTTTTGGTACTCTGTCATTTCCACACCAAAGATGTTTAGGTACTTTTTAAAACGTATCCCTTCTTCGTTTAAAATTTTAGAAATATTTTCAGCACTTGGACTAAGTAATTTACATTTTAACTTTGAACACTTTTACTTTAATTTCTTTACTATTTGAATCCTATGTGTTGTTGATTTTACATATATTTCAGATTCTTCAGCATTTTTTGTCTTTACAAAAAAGTAGTGTAACATCCTATTTTCAGGAACTGAAACAACCGTGTACACAAACGACTAGTATTCCTACCTTGTTATCAATCAATATTGTCAATAGGGATTAAAGGGATACTTGGTCAGCATTAGCTGCGATGACGTCAAGACAATTTATATATGTTGCAATGTGCAGAGGAGACTGGTATTAATATTAGTACCAGGTCTGCATTAACGACTAAACGAATTGTAAATTTATTGCAATAAACAAATCAAAGGAAACACAAAAATTTTGATACTGTACCGCAACAAAATCTCTCAACGATATGTCTTCTTCACTCTTACTGCGCAGCTCATAATATTTATCTTCAGATATGTCCAAATCTTTTAATGTCCTTCGAACATTTCCTGCTTTTTCTTGCAACCTTTCGTTTGTGGATTCTAAATGTCTTTGTCTTTGTCGAACATCCTCCAATTCACTTTTAATAAGTTCTTGTCTTCTTCTCGATTCCTGCTCCTGTATACTTAATTGTGATTCTAAACGAGCAGTCAAAATCTGCTTTTCGTGCAAAGCATCGTGCAGTTTCTCTTCAAGTTCTTCCACTTTTTGTAACGATTGTGCTTTCATGTTTTCAGTATTTAAATTCTTTTGTGAAAGCTCTATTCTAAGAAGCTGCAAATCATGTGCTAACTGTTTCTTTTCAATTAGTTGTCGAGTGATTTTTGTTTTCCTCTCTCGCCTGTCGATGTCTCGATCGGGTGACATAGTTAAATCCGTTGGAGCGGTTGTTTCCAGTCCACTCAACTCGTCCGATTCGATTTCATCGAACGTTTTGGATAAATCGTTGGCGGCCATTTCTGTTAGTAGCAAGACCACCTCCTAAAATTAAAAGCAGCAATAGATCACTGGACGTTCACAGTTGACGTTTAAAATCAAGAGCCATTATGTTTCTTTGCTGGCTCTGTTTATCACCTAGGTCTCTGCTTGTCTTGTCTAAATACTTCTTGGTTAACTTTTGAAACAAACGCAGTAGTGACTATGATTTTTCATGATCAAACTTGTTCAACTTCCGCGGAAAAAACTTATTAAAGGGAAATAACTCGCAATACGTGGCTATTTATCGGTATATTGCAATTTGGTGATTTTTGAATGAACATCATATTACATTTTTTTGATCAATTAAATTCATGTTGGTTTAGGCACAGTTATGGAAAAATTAACAGAAAAAATGATGAATTATTGAACTTAAAATGGAATCAAAATTAAGCTGGCTCGGTTGGTTATATGACTGGATTTAATTTTCTTTTTTGAAGTCATGATGCTTACTGTTCATTTAATTCATCTATGTCAAATAGGCAAACTAAACGAAAATTCGTCTTTGATTCAAAATGGTAATTTGTTTTCAAATTTTAAGCTAGCAGCTCTTAGAGCGCTAAGTTACAATATAAAGGGCATACATGTACATGTACATATATGTATATTCTCTGGAGATGTTAATATCCATTTCACACTCAGGATACCAAAGAAAACACATTCACACAGGATTGCTCTCACTCACTCAGGTTGGCAGACCTGGGAATATGTTACAGTAAGTATATTTGAACCTATCCTGATGTGTAGATAGTAATATTTGCCACGTCACAGTATAGATATATAGATATAGGAGGATCATAAGAAAGCTCTCGTGGTTAGATATTATAAGTCAACACCAATTCCTCAAACGAGAGGATTCTCCAATGAAGGGGAAATTCGTAATTCTATTTAGATTTCTCAACATAATTTCAACACTTTGAGTGGGCACTCGCAGAGACGCCGCCGAAAAGTCAGATCAGCAGTATATCTTGTCAGAGACGTATTCATACGCTGATATATAGGTCTCTGATATCTATTTCATCTTGATAACGTGCAGTTGAAAAACTGCTTCATCAGAGACGTACGAACAAGTTATATATTTCTGATTTCATCTCTAAAAACTTATAATTTAGGGATCATGCAAACATATAATCTCTAAAAAAACAACACATTTGAGGTAAATCAAAGCCAGGCGGTGGACATATTGAATAGGAAATGAATCAAATACACTAATCCGAGATTAATGTAGTCAGCCTCCTTTATTGTGAAGAACGTAGCTGAACATGCCCCTGTCTCCCCGGCTACAGGTTATTAGTAGTCTTTTTCTATCAGGAGTTGGTATGTCAATTACATTCATATTGCAGTAAATTTCGATATATCGTTTTCAATGGAATTTACGAAAAGTAAGCATCAGTTTATTGGTAATTTTAAATAATAATTAAAAATCCTTTCCTATAATGTAAGAAGTAATTTCAGGTAGTCTGGTACAAACTTGTACACTGTCCTCTCCATAATGTAGGCTTCCCTCTGCCATGTTTGGACTGTCCGCTATTAAGTCTTGACTGTCCTCAACCGAGAATGAAATACAAGGGGCCCAGTATCTTTAAGCAGACATGGCAAATTATTCTCATTAGATATTTTACTGTTCTTCAAATATTTCAATCGCAAACTTTGTCGGCTCAATCCGTTGAAGCTACCAGCCAAATATTATTATATGATTCTATGCTACCTTGTAAGTAGCTCAAGGTAATTTTCGTTCTCAAACTTGATTGGCTCTATCCCAAGCAGTTAAAAGCAAAATCTTAAGAATCCATGCATTTTAGTTCTTCAGAACAAGTCATTTGAAGTGTTGTTGACCTCTGTAACCTTTTAAGTAGGTTAAGGTCATTTTCATTCGCATACTTTGATGAGCTCTCTCCCAAGAAGCCACCAGCCAAATATTATGATTCTGCCTTTCGATTACCCAAAAATTACATGAATTTTTACAATACCAGTATTCAGAGGAAGTCATTTATTGGTGTTGACATATTTGACCCTGTGACCTTGATAGGTCAAGGTCATTTTCGTTCTCAAACTTTGTCAGGCTCTTACAAATGAAGCTTTCAGCCAATTATCATGACCCTAGGCCTGTCCATTATTCAAAAGAAATCGTTTTATGAGTTTGACATGGTAGTTGACCCCTGTGACCTCAAAAGTACATAAAGGTCATTTTCAATCTCAAATTTGTCGGGCTCTTTCCCAGGAAGCCACCAGCAAAATATTAAATTTTTGTACCTTTGAAGTTTTTGACACATTTGACCCCTGTGACCTTGAAAGTAGGTCAAGGTCATTTTCATTCCAAATTTTGTTTGGCCCTCTCCAACAAAGCTTTCAGCCAAATATCATGACACTAGGCCTAGGCCTGTCCATTATTCAGAAGAAGTCATTTAAAGGAAAAGTTGACGGACGACGTCGGACAATGGACGCCGGTTGGACGGACGACAGAAGCTGCACCATGTCATAAGCTCACTTGCCCTTCAGTTTTGAAAAATAAAACCTAGTGTGATTTACAAAAAGTTTTACTCTTGCTGTTTTTCGCAGTAAAATGTATAGCAATAAATAAACACATCAATTTTCAGTGTTTTTGTTGAGTCAGTTTCAAATTTTCATCATTTCTGTATTTTGAATGCTCCTTCATGGACGACAACACTTTGAACGTTGTACATATAATGACTGGAAACTTGTATAAACATGCTTTTTAATCCAATTGGGAAAATATGGGGTTATTTTTCAATTGGGAATGGGTCCCTGTATATACCGGACCCTGTAAACACCTGGCAAAAACCCCGTGATTATATCATGCTATATATCCTGAATTTTTAGTGCAGGTGTAATTTATAATTTAAACATCAAAACTCACTATAATTCTTAAACTTTATTGAGTTCTAACAATATCTTTTACAACCTGCCTTATGGCTTTGAATAATCATTAAAAAGTCGACAATTACAAGAGTACCGCGGAGCGGGACAAAATATACCCATAGCACACTGACTCCTTTGGGCCCCACCCTACAGCCCTTGGGGTAGGGCTGGCTCAAAATTTTCAAAGTATCAAACTGTCAACTCAGGGTTATAATTCCAATCAATTTATATACATGTAATATTCAAAGTATCATTTGCCATTGTAAACCATAATAAATTTATTAAATAAGTATTATGGTATGTCATAACATAATACTACCATCAAATTTGAAGGTCGTATAAAAAGTGTTCAATGCTCATTTTAATATTTGTGTATCTAAACAAGAGAGAATTGCTCACCTGTCTATTTTGAAAGTGAAGCAGAAACCAGCCAACTAGTGAGGGAGAAAATACCAAACCATACTATTTGCCTGTTTTGAACACCATGGGCTGTGCATGTTAATAATATCAACACAATCTGGTGTCAACATGGCAAGCAGTCTTTATGAAGATGACATTGAAAAACAAATCTGCTAGTTTGACTACTTTTGACCCTGTTCCTAAACCCCCTACAAGAGGGTCAGTCCCTTTATCTGTATAACTGCTTAACTGCCAAATGCTTTGGATGTTACCACAGACTATACTTAGGTTGTGGCCTGTGTTAACTGCATCTCAATATTTTTTACATTATTTGGACCACAAAATTGACTAATAGCTCTAACTAAAACAAGTTAGAAATAAAATCAACCAGTAAATTTGTCATCAAAAATTCCTCAAATTGAAAGTCAAGTCAAAATCAAGAAGATACTGTATCACATTTTCTTAGGTCTGCCAGAGGGGTTACTTATTGGTCCAAAATGAACATCCATCGGCATTTTCTCAATAACACAATGTATTTGAAATTTCAATCCTTCATAAAACTACACTTCAGTTTTCACTGATTCTTCTTTAAACTGAAACATAAATGTGTTAACATTAAACTAATACTGATACTAGTTTGTCATATATTTTTTTCCTGTCTTTATATTGGCTTTGCTATCATACTTGGAAACTCTGGTAATGTCACCAGGAACCATTCTTTCCTTAGAGAAGTTTTACATATTTAGTCACGCAGTCAATGGAGGTGTTTTTGCCTACTTTAAATACAGTTGCTTTGAATTTAAGAGGAACTGACAGGTTGGTTCAAGAATCTGAATATTGATCAACAGAAACATTCTCTCTTGATTCATCTCACCATTTCCAGTGATATACACAACGACAATGATACAATGTTATTTTTATTTACAGTGAAGTATACAATGAAACAACTTCCACAATCACATGCTCTACGCAGTGTTATATTTCTTGTATATGTGGAAAAATACATCATGATGACCTAGCAGTCACGAGAATGCCAGTATGTAGTGTTTCTTCACTAGAAGCTTTCCTCGTCATGTTAACTTCTCACATTTTGTCCATGAAAACGATGTAAATAGGTGATACCAAGAGTAAACTAAACACAGTTTATCAAATACTAGGTCCAATGTCTAGGTATTTTCTGTGCTGTTCAGATTCTTCATCTTTTCCCACGCTTACTACCAGGAGGAGGGGGTTTGTTGAGCTGGAAAGGAGCTTCTGCATTTGGCGCCGCCACTCCAAAGGCAGGCGTGTTTCCAAACGTCAACCCAGGAGTCTGCTGGGTGGTACTCAGGTTAAATCCGGACGACCCGCCAAGGGGCTGAGGGGTTATTCCGAAACCTGCAACAACCAGGTTAAGGTCACATACACAAACCAATTAAACAAAAAAAGAACAATTTCAAACTCATATACTGCAGGTGATGATCATATGTACACATCACATACTTAATGTAATGATGGTCATATACTTTGGGTAATGATGTATACGTCACATAATTTAGGTACTTTTGAACAAATGTCAAGGTCACATAGCCTGGATAATGATATATCACTTTGTCTCTGTATAAAATTTAGTTAGACTTTGAGGGTAAATTGTAAGAATTTTCCAATTTTCATTTTGAGTCCTGTCTGTTTGGTCCCCTTATATAAAATGTATTCCCTTTGACTCTAGAGTTACTTAAACAAAATTAAATTTATATACCTTTAGGAATTCTGGAGAACTACAAGACTTGTAAAGGACAAGTCAATGGACAGACAATGATAGATTTCCATGATATGAACTCACTTGAGCTTTGACAAAGGGGCTAAATCCCACTACCAAGTAATAGTTGTATACTGTGTGTTTGACTGTGAGTATCATATGCAGCTTATGTGAATACACATTCTTCTAATGCATGTGATACAGCGAAAGAAACAGTAGAAATTAAACTTAAACTAAACAAATCTGACTACCAGAGACAAAAGTTTTAAAATTCTAGATATTTAATGGAATAACAGATTAAATAGTCAAAAATCAAAATTCAACAACTGAAGATTAGTTATCATAATAATTGTACACACAATAAGCAACATAGGACGAAGTATTGAGGATAACACTGTAAGTTTTTTGTTTATAACAGTCAGCAGAAGACGATAAAACATTTAAAATAAGGAAAGTTCTAAACAGGCACAAAAAAGATGAGGGAAATTGTCTGGGGAAACGGTAACATGAAAATATTAAAGGTCAAAATTTAACATGAGGGTTTTAGAAAGAGGTAAAAGGTTAAAAAGAATGAGGGGTCATAGGTCAAAACATGATGGGAAGGATGCAGGAGATGAAAGGTGATAGAAAGTGAGGCTGCTTACCACCACTAACCTAGAGGTCTGACGGTGGCAGTGCCCCCCATGCCGGTCGTATTGGAGCCGCCAAAAGAGGAGCCACCAAACAATGAACCTCCAATACCAGAGGGAGCTACAGCTGTGGCAGCAGTCCCAAAGCCTGATAAAAACAGTGGTGAATGATAAGAGGGGTTAGAGACTGAAAATCTATACCAAGGTCTAGTCTCGTATATACATTCAAACCTGTATTCAAAGAATACCTTTGAAAAGTTCATAAGTGGTTTCTCAATGCAGGTGGCCTCTGAATGCAGGTTCATTTAACGAAATAAATAACTGGAATAAGGAGTTTTGAAAGTCTTTTGAAAGAAATGTTCTCTGGAGAAGGTTTGAATGTCACACTTGCATTAAACAAGAGGCCCAATGGGCCTACATCGCTCACCTGGTATTAATCTTATACTTGTAATCGTAAAAGTGGACTAAAAGTAACAGCTACAGGCAGAATATCAGTGTTTGATTCATAAGAACCTATTAAAAGATTAAAACATATGACGCCTGTGACCTTGAATGTCGAACAAAGACATTAGGTTGAAATACAGGCCCAATATCAGTACCCTGGGCCTTTTGGTTATTGAGAAGAATTTGTTTGAAGATTTTAAGACATTTGACCCCTGTCACCTTGAAAGTTGGTCAAGGTCATTCATTTGAACAAACTTGGTAGCCCTTCATCCCATCATGCTACAGGCCCCATACCAGTACATTGGGCCTTTTGGTTATTGAGAAGAAGTCATTTGAAGATTTTAACATATTTGACCCCTGTGACCTTGAAAGTGGGTCAAGGTCATTCATTTGAACATACTTGATAGTCCTTCATCCCAGCATGCTACAGGCCCAATATCAGTTCCCTGGGCCTTTTGGTTATTGAGAAGAAGTCATTTGAAGATTTTACGACATTTGACCCCTGTGACCTTGGAAGTGGATCAAGGTCATTCATTTGAACAAACTTGGTAGCACTTCATCCCAGCATGCTACAGGCCAAATATAAGTACTCTGGGCTTTTTGGTTATTGAGAAGAAGTTGTTTGAAGATTTTAATATATTTGACCCCTGTGACCTTGAAAGTGGGTCAAGGTCATTTATTTGAACAAACTTGGTAGCCCTTGATTCCAGTATGCTACTGGCCAAATATCATCATCCTAGGCCTTTTGGTTACTGAGAAGAAGTTGTTTAAAGTAAAAAGTTTACACCAGAGGCCGGACGGACGACGGACGCCACACCATGGCATAAGCTCATTTGCCCTTCGGGCAGGTGAGCTAAAAACACCATGTCCTGATTACAGAAATCAAAAAGCTAAGTTTGGTTTGCTGTACAGGTTATGGGAAAAAGAATACATAAAAATCTTGAAAATTGATAATAATTTCATAAATTTTGAAGGAAGTCCATATAGTGGTCTTTTATTTCAGGAATTTAAGAGCAATCTAACTATACACAGGCATGCTCTTAACAAAGGTGATCTTTCAAGCAGGTTTTCATAATCTACTCACTAGCCATTCTATTTGATATCAATAAAGTCACAGAAGGTATGTAGGTCACCAGCTGTGATACAAAAAGGTATGTAGGTCACCAGCTGTGTTACAAAAGGGTATGTAGGTCGCCAGCCGTGTAACAAAAGGTATGTAGGTTATACCAGCTGTTTCACAAAAGGTATGTAGGTTATACCAGCTGTGTTACCAAAGGTATGTAGGTCACCAGCTGTGTTACAAAAGGTATGTAGGTCACCAGCTGTGTTACAAAAGGTATGTAGGTCGCCAGCCGTGTAACAATAGGTATGTAGGTCACCAGCTGTGTTACAAAAGGTATGTAGGTCGCCAGCTGTTTCACAAAAGGTATGTAGGTTATATCAGCTGTTTCACAAAAGGTATGTAGGTCGCCAGCCGTGTAACAATAGGTATGTAGGTCGCTAGCTGTGTAACAAAAGGTATGTAGGTTATACCAGCAGTGTTACAAAAGGTATGTAGGTCACCAGCTGTGATACAAATGGTATGCAGGTCACCAGCTCTGTACTAAAAGGTATGTAGGTCAACAGCCATATAAAAGGTATGTAGATCACCAGCCATATAACAGAAGGTATGTAGGTCACCAGCTGTGTTACAAAAGGTATGTAGGTCACCAGCCATGATACACAAGGTATGTAGGTTTACAAGCCATATAACAGAAGGTATGTAGGTAGAAGGTATGTATGTCACCAGCTGTGTAACAAAAGGTATGTAGGTCACCAGCGATATAATAGAAGGTATGTAGGTCAACAGCCATTTTTCACAAGGTAAGTAGGTCACCTGCCTGGTTAACAAAAGGTAGGTAGGTCACCAACTTACATGTAATGTGCCACCAGCTCTGTAGTCATTATAGAGATTTATTAATACACACCTTTAGAACCGAGAAGTCCGAACGATGATGACGTAGACGTACCCAAACCGAAGCCTGAAACATTCAGCAATGAAAATGTTTTACCTCTACACTACAAACACCAACACACTTAATAGAGAAATGTTCACAAACCAACACAATGGACAAGGTGACATCTACAGTGTGTAACCATACTGTATAGGGGTACAGAGAATGGCGTACAATTCCAACAGACCTAGACTAGTAGTTTTTATGTCAGTGCTGGGGAAAATTTTAGTAATCACTTTGAAAACATTCATAATTTGATAACAAGCTACATGTACCTGGCACTGTGCTGGACTGTGTCACTGTGTTGGTCCCAAATCCAAACCCTACAAAATAGATGACCAAGTCCATTAACAGCTGATAGCTTGTACATAGTAATCTAATTTACTAAGGACAATTTAGTATATGAAAGTGTCATCTTGGTGAGCCATTGCCTTTGTATATACACATGTACAACACTTAATGTACCTGTCCTAGAGTTGTTCCAATTGACTAGTCTTGTATAACATTGGCATAAGAGTTGTAAGAGTTGTTTTTATACAAAAACTGACCCCTTTGCATAGGAGCGCCTCACACTATTTTTAGTTATTAATATCTGTATCTATACTACTCCTTGAACATTCTTTAAAAGAGAGTTTGAAAGGCATACAGCAGAATACACTGTGTTACAAAAAAAATAACTCGGCTAGCTAGGGAAAAAGTGCATGGCCTTTCACAACATTGAACAGAAATTTTGATTCAAAGGTATATTATTACATTTCAGAATTCTAGGAGCTCAGAAATATTTATTACGGTAATTAACATGAATATGTGGGTGTGGATGGTTTATATTTAGATCCTACCAGTGGCCGGGGTTGTCGTGGTGTTTGTAAAGAAACCTCCTGTTCCCGTCAGTCCAGCCACAGGTGGACCTGCTACTGAAACATTTAAAACATCAATTCATGTTTTTATTAAATTTATTGATAATTTTTTTAATAAAATTCCTTTCATACAAAATGTCATGATTTCCAAATGAACTGATTATTGCAATCATGTAAAGTAACTTGAGACTGATAGAAGCAAACCACTATATATTACCAGCTAATTACCTGTTTTACCTGACCTAGATACATGTATCCACCTGTCTGATTTAGACACCTGATACATGTACAGGATAACTATTGTTTGTTGTTGTAACCTAATTAATCTGACTTAGGTATGACTAACTTGAGTGATATCTTTTCCATGAAACATGCATGCATATATTTTAGTTTTTGTATTGTTTTATGGCCCATCAACAATTTAAGTAATTTATAGTGTCAATACAATTATGTAAGATCACTGTGCCCTTTTACCTAATTGAAAACAAATATTTTTCTCACGATATTGAACAAAGAGTTACCCACTTTATCATTTTCTGATCTTTATATACAACTAGCTGTTGTCACCTTCATCAATGCATTTGCAACTTAGGTAAATAGAATTTAACTTTCCTTTGTTGAATTCTGACCTATATGCTGTGACCTTGACCTTCGTATACACCTACCTGTTGGTTGTTGTGACCTTGACAGGGCAGATGCCATGGCGATTGCAGCAGCGTTTGACATGTCAGAGAAGGGGCTTGGACCCATTTGGGTGACAGGGTGGAGATGGGCTTTTGATGTGGCCTTTTTCTCACGGTCAAAGATATTCTTACCGTCATGGAGGTAAATCTTCCTGTAGTTGAGGTAGTGATCTTTCTGCGTCTGTGTAATAATACACAAATTTCCACTTTATATGAGATTGAAACATAATCCTTAAATAATAAACAAGTCTCCATTTCTGGAGATTTATAAAACAGTTTTTCCTTTAAAAAAAAATAAAAAAATTGAGACTTTTTAATATCTTACCACATGATCAAGAAATATTTTGCAAATATTACTTAGAAAACATGTTTTGTGACATCGTTTAATTATGTTTTGATGACATCACAATAAGTAGTATTGTAAAGGTCCTTCTCACCTTGACTGCCTCATGGACATGATGTAGCTGTGCTGCTAAAGCAATGAATGCTTCATGTAACTTCCTCATCAACACAATCAACTCTGAAATCAAACAGAAATACTGTACAACGGTGGCTTTACTTCATTACCATAGAATAAATAACAGCATCCATCAGTTTTCTTATAAGTATGGCTCTTTATTCCTATCACTGACCCTTCCCCTCACAAAATCAGTTTTGAAAAGACAGCTTCCCTGACAGATTTCAAAAATATTTCTTTCTTATTTATACAATGTAAACTTCGGAAATGCCTCATATCTTTGTTATTTTATTATATCAATGTTACACAAGCTTACATACGTGTAGTGCAAAAACCATGCATATTACAGGGTTTATAGAATGAATCCTACACCTCAAAATCCTTACCGGATTCACCATCAAGAGGGACATATATTTAAATCTTTATTTGCATAGACCCACCAGTAAAAGAGTTAAGAAATGTAAATGTCTCAATCCTGTTTATTCTTTTGTTTAAAATGGGAGAGATATAGAGAATTCATAAGATTATTTCTACAAGGTAATTGCATCTTTCCACGAATCATCTTCAGAGCAGTATAAATATACTATGACGTACATACCCTCAGGTGACAGTTTACTGGGCTGATGCAAGGACGCCAGGTGGCCCTCCAGAGTCTCTATCTGTTGTCTATATAGCAGCATTTGGTGTTCAAAGTCCTCAACAAGGTGCTGGAAGTATCTAGTTAAGAAGATAACGACAAAAGATATATTATTGGTAAATAGCATTATATCTAAAATTATATTTTTGTGAACAAAAACATGTCTCCCATTATTAGCCAATAGACAAACTTCGGTATAAAAAATTCACAAAGGGCCCAATCTCTTTATATAGTGGGGCACAAGACCCGAATTTAGAATACCATACTCCTACTTCCCAAGATACATTAAAACTATGGCAAGTTTGGTCAACGTAGGTAAAATAACATGAAAGTTATGCCGTGGACAAACTTCGGTATTAAAAATATACAAAGGGCCATAACTCTGAATAAAGTGGGGCATTAAACCTGATTTTCATGCGATAAATTCCGTCTTCCCAAGATACATGATATGGTAAAGTTTGGTCAACATAGGTGAAATAACATGGAACTTATGCTCTGAACAAACTTCGGTATTAAAAATAAACAAAGGGCAGTAACTCTGTATATAGTGGGACACGAGACCTAGTTCCAGTGCACTGCATACCTTCTGTGGGTGATGCAGGTATAGTTTACCTTCTGTGGGTGATGCAGGTATAGTTTAAGTTTGATCAAGATATCTTTAACGGTTTAAAATTTACGGGCCGGACAAGAATTTACTGAAAATGTTGCACTAATTTGACCTTTGACCTTGAGGTGAAGGTCACAGTGACCTAATTCCAGTGCACTGCACACCTTCTGTGGGTGATGCATGCATACTTCAAGTTTCATCAAGATGTCTTTAACTGTTTAAAAGTTAGGGCCTGGACAAGTTGCGATTAGAAGAACCAGGAGAAGAACCAGTACTAATACAATATGTCTCCCTTCATTCTAAGGGGAGACATAATACAACTAAAAATCTGTTGCTTATCATCCCAATAACAAGTCTTAGGATTTGATAAACGATTACTCACTCTGTTGGGGCTGTATTCTCGTACTGCAGACCAGGTGGGATGTCCTTTGTACGCTGAGCCATCTCTGCATGCTTAAGTTCCTGAGTATCACAATACAGCATTTATATAGAAGCAGTATGCAGAAACCGAACATACCAGGGGTGTACAATTACACTTGCCCCGTGCCCAAGTCTAATAGAAGCTTTTTTTAATTTGAAATGTTCAAATGTTCGATATTTACATATTGATTTTATATGTAGAATATTTCAAAATCTGTCTTTAACTTAATATAAAATTGTACACTCAAGTAAATAGAGTAATTTTTACTTGAATAGTCTTTTAAAATACATTTGAATTTTCAGTTTAAGTTGAAGCTCTGTAATACTCCTTGAAGCATTTGTATGGATTTCACAACATTAATATTATTTCCTGCCTATTCCAGAGCTCGACAAGGACTGTTCATAAAAAAGCCCTTAGTCATGGCTATATTTCTATATACCCCCCCCCCCC